GATCTGAAAGTGTGGCGTCCTCTCGTTCTCTGCTCTTTCAGTGGGAGCTGCAATCCTGAGCTGCTAGTGATCAGCCATCTTGGATCTCTCTCCTCAGCCAGCTACATTTTTACATTTCTCTGGCAACATACATTATGTCTGGAATTAATACTAATTCCAAAGAATATAGCTTTCACACAAGGAAGATAAAAGACATTATATATTTGCATATTAAAATTATTATTGGATATCAGATTTGGTTTACTATATAATCAAAACTGCAACTGATATTATCAGAAGCAGTCAATATTGGCTGGGTGTGGTGGCTCACACCTGTAAACCTAGCACTTTGGGAGGCTGAGATGGGAGGATCACTTGAGGTCAAGAGTTCGAGATCAGCCTGGTCAAGAGTTGTGAGACCAGCCTGGCTGACATGGTGAAGCTCTGTCTTGGAGCCGGGCGCGGTGGCTCATGCCTGTAATTCTAGCACTTTGGGAGGCTGAGGTGGGTGGATTACCTGAGGTCAGCAGTTCAAAACCAGCCTGGCCATCATGGTGAAACCCCATCTCAAAAAAAGAAAAAAAAAAAAGAAAGAAAAAAAAAACACAGTTGGAGTTCAAATCATTAGTGTGAATGTTGGGCTAGCACTAAATTGTGCAGTTACTATGTCTGTTGCCTTAATTATGGGATCCCCTTCTTATGTTAATGGGATCATAATTTTTATAATCCATATGCAAAATGAAGTAATAAAGGGTAAAATGATACCACCTGACTCTGGAAAAGAGATCTGATTCAACAACTCAGAGAGAGGTATGTGCAGTGAACAAAGGATAGAATGAAAAGGAAAAGGGAATAGACTTTTCTAAAAGTTTCTAACAATTACACACACTTACCAGAACTAAATATTATTAATTATTATTTGCTGAATAGTAAAAATATAATACTCCTTATTTTAATCATTGCTTCTTTGAGCTTCAACTTTTTCTTAGCCACCTATAACTTTACTTTGGTAAACTGTCTGTGTTCCTTGCTCATTTTCTACTGGAGTTTTGGAAGTTTCCATTTTTATTGGCCTTCATGAACTACTA